AGACCCTACACGAAAATGAGCACTTAGCCCTTGCTTACATGTTAGGCCTGAAAATTACCTAAAACCCCCAAACATTATATATCGTCTGAAAGTCAACACCCTGTACAATAAAATGGTGGCAGCTGAAAATGTTTATGTTGCACGACATTAGCACAACTTTTTATCAAACCCAAAAAGTTTGTGAAGAATGCATTTAAGCTAAAATTTAGTGCCCCAACACACTATATAATACCCATTTTTTTAAACTAAAATATAAAAGATGAGGTTACAACGAGTAAACAGATACCCAACATGCACAGGTTAAAAATTGTGTGTGTCCGTGAAACTGCGACAGTTCAGTAGCACAAAAAGTCCATAGACAACGCTTTAAAAGCCCCTACAGGTCATCACTTTAGAGATATGTATAAATATTGGCTCTAGAATTATTGCTCTTACTTTGGCATGGGCGGTGATACCCAACATGTGTAGTGCAGGCATCGTTTTCATAGGTGGGCACACCGGACGCACGTTTACGTGAATATGCACATGCTCCCAGGTGCGGGGGACTTAAAAAATATTTATTATCTTTACATTTATTTTTAAAAACAGGTTTGTTTTTTTTACAAGCCCATGTGATAGCATATTGGTGGTGGCAGATACTCTAAGGCGATACTGGGGGTCCAAAAGACCCCTAGTATCACCTTTCCACTCTAAATAAGCCATTCAAGTGCAGATCGCACATCAATAGCTTATTGCTTGGCTTCAGGAGCCCAGCAATGACAGCTCAGGGACCGGAAGTGATGCAATATGCGTCGCTCCCCATAGAACGGGAAGGAGAGCGGTGAACGGATGTTCGCAGCTCTCCCCCCCAGCTTCCTGCCAACACCCGAGAAGCAAGTCCCGAGGAGGGGCAGTGGAGCCTGGGAAACACGGCAGGGCCGTTGGGCGGGGGCGGCCACTTTACCGGCCCGTAGAAGCGGCCTGGCGACAGCCGAGTCGCCAGAATCGCTTTGACTGTAAAGCCGGCCACTGGCTCTACAAATATGAACAGAGTGCAGGTGGCTTTTGTCTGTGTAAGCCCTTAAGGACCCATAACGGAATTATCCCGTCATGGTTCGTGAAGGGGTTAATAACTGACAAGTTTAACAGGTATTTTCTGTACTTGCTGATTGTTGTTCTTTGATGTAGTGGCTAAAAAGACTGGTAAGCTGCTAAATACACCCAATTTACACTTTTTAATGGGAGTTTTGAGGTACAAAAACAAATCTATCCAAACAAATATAAAATAGTACAATTTATTAGGATATGTATAAAAACAGGACTATAAAGATAATGTAAAATACCCCCTCTATTGAAGGCCCACCAACGTATCGACCCTTTCTTTTAGGGCATTACCCAACATATAAAATGTCTGTATGTCAAGGTGAGTAATACCAAGATCGTGTCCCAGAATTTTCATGAACTTGTTTCGTGGAAATACTATCCACTTGTTCTGGAGGACCAAACAGAGGCATATAAAGACACGAAGTCTTCAAGAAGATTCTTTCCCTCTGGGTGACCCTGTAGTTCTGCCACTGATGCCAAGCTGTAGAGGGACTACAAATCCCAGCAATACATTATACAGCAATGCAGAACAATATGAAGCTACATACTTCATGCTGCTCACCAGGGCTGTGTGGCGTTTTAGGAGGCTGTGGGCCCCACCTGCTCTCAGGAGGGGTCTGGAGGTTATGGCAGGCGGGTGCATCTGTCAGAAGAGGTGCGGCTCCAGAAGGGCTGCGGGGGTCACTCAGTAGATGTGACGGCGCTGTGTTTGCGGGTGGGCTCCAGGAGAATGGCTGCGGGGTCAGAATTGGCGCCTTGTATAGGGGCATTTTCACGTGTACTTCATCGTGCAGCACTAAATGTTACAGTTGAACATAAGCTTCATGAACTGGAGTCTATTATCCCTGGCTGTACAATAAAGAATATAGAAATGCTCATGTAGATGCACATATTCAAAGGTTCCAGCAAGTTGTCATCACATCTTTGAGAAACCAGTATTGTTTAAATCCCCGTATTTATAATGTGAGCAACTAATATATGCATCCCTATTTTTCTCAGATCAAATTTGTGACCATTGGTGAACATAGTATTAAATCAAACTAGACTTCACTACTTTAATGTTTCTTTTTTATTAACTCATTTGAATGAAACATGCTGCACATAATTTTATGACTTTTAAGATAGGAAACCTTATTACATGGCCATATAAAATGTACGCACTTCAGTAAAATGTAATTTAAATAAACGATGAGTCTTCAAATCCATTTAGGCAGTGCAATATGTCTTACACATTTAAAAAATTAATACACAAACTGAACAAAGGGTCATTTGAGTTTTCAGGGCAAGTATATCACATGTGTTGCCACTAACCAATACACAGTGCCATTTGCACAACTGAAGAGACCGTTTAAAGCATCACAAACATGAGGGAATGTTATAAGGTGCCCATACACTGCACGATTCTCGTACGAGAATCGTGGGAAATCCTGCGATTGTACAAGAATCGTGCAGTGTGAATGAAGACGTGCGACCGTTACTACTGTACGGTCGCACGTCTTTTGTCTAAGGAACATGCTAGAAAACCAGCCGAAAATCGTACGATTTTCGGCTGGTTTGAATGATGCTCGTAAGACAAATGCAGAACGGGCCGGTGGCCGCACACTGCCCTTTCAGCATTGCGGTCATCGGAAGCCCGCCCCTCAGGGGGGCGGGCTTCCTATCATCGCAAGTACGATCTGCCTGTCCAAGATGGGCAGATAGTACATTTTTAAATTACTTTACAACCATCGCAAGACTAAGGTCTTGCAATGGTTGTAAAGTGCATGGCCACCTTAAGGGAGACAAAATTTAAAAGTGCTGCAAAAGCTTCCACTATTCTGGAAACATTAATAGACTTAACCCCTTCGTGACGAGAGACGTACACTGTACGTCCCGCTACAAAGGGACCAAATTACTTGTCACGTACACTGTACGCGACGAGTTATTTGCTGCACTAGAAGGCTGGTAACCACTGAGAATCAGTGGTTATCATTCATTAATGGATGCCTCAATACAAAGGCATCCATTAATAAAAGGGTTAACCTTTTTCAGACACCCGATACCTGAAAATTGGGTGTCTGAGAGTCAAAGCAGAGCCGGCATGTTTGCCGGCATTCTAACAGCTCGTATAGATCGAGAGATATCTCTCTCAAGCTATACTGGCTTTTTTTGTTTTTTCTTTCACTTTCAGGGATACATTATGTATCTATTCCTGAAAGAAGAATGTTTCAGTTTTCTGATGGTTGTTGTAACAATCAGAAAACTAGTGACAGCTGAATCCTGAACTGCTGCAGGATCAGTGTCACTAACTTATTATCGGCTGTTCTGAAGTTTGAAGCAGCCTGATAATAACCAAAAATTTATTAATTTATCAAGCAGTAATAGTGAGATTAATTCACAATGGCTGCTTGATATAATTAAATTAAATAACATTTTTAAGTTTACAAAAAATTGTGAAAAGTGTAAAAAAATAAAAGGACAAATAAATGAATGTATTTATTGCATTATTTTTTAGCTGGTTTTGTAAAAAAAAAATACTACCAATCAAAACTGGGAAAAAGGTGTTTTTTTACGTTTTTTCCTCTTTTTTTATATTTTATTTGTCCTAAGTGAGGCGTTAAAGACACACATATGTGATATAAATATGTAGCCCTATCTGTCCTCTTAAAAACAATATATAATATGTGTGGGTGCACTTTGTAAGAAAGTATATTACGGACGTGGAAGAATCACACAGCAAAAATGTCAAAAGTGTGTCAGTCATTTACGAACAGAAACTAAAAACAAGCTCAGTCATGAAGGGGTTAAAGCATAACACCAGGAAGTTTTTTGCAAACTTACTTTGGTGCAGCTTGGCTCAATGTATATTTGCATACCTGATATCCAAACAGCCACTGGGGATGCTGAAAATCACTGTAGTTGTCTGCATAACATACAGTGGTAGCAGAGCATTACCATCAAGGTGTCTTGCCTTAGCAGTAGCTACTTTTACTTACCGGCTCTGTATGGAGCCACCGCAGTGTGCGCTTATCTACCTGGACTACTAAGCAAAGTGCATTGACACAGAGAGTGGCTAGAGATGCAAGGCACTTGAGATCAGCCCATGTGCTCCCTTTAGATTGTAAGCCCTCACAGGCAGGGCCCTCCTTACCATCCTGTCTTGTATTGTGATTGTAATGTCTTCCTCATATTGTAAAGCGCTGTTGGTGCTATATAAATCCAGTATAATAATAATAATGTGTCTGTGACTGACAGGTTTTGCTATTGCCCAGTGTGTGTCATTGGCTGCGATTCACGCATGCACATTTGACTATCGTGGGCAGTGCATCATGGGACATGGAGTCCCTGCATCAGACACGGGGGACACCGTGTGTGCACATCCCAAATGGAAGTATAGTGGGAAGGGCAGGTCCAAAGCACATAGTGGTGTCAGTACAAGATAAGTGGAATAACCATCTGTGAATAGTTTATTGGAAAACAACATTTATTTACTATATTTATGACATTCGAATGCATATGTTGTCTTTTTATAGGGGTTAATGCTACTTTAATAAAGTGGAATATCAATTTTTTAAATGGACTCAAAAGGTGAAGATTTGGTACATTTATACCAATCCTTTTCCTAGTATGTGAACATAACTAGGCACTCCTGTACCTGCAGCCTCATTGCTGCAGTGTAAGATCTAAAGCTGGCCATACACTGCCCGAATTTCA